CCGCCACCTTAGGTGTACGTGGCTGGCGCCTTAGCCGGTTGAGCTATAGGCGCCGAGCCAAGAGGGACTTTACCTAACAAATACAATCCATGTAACTGGGTTTCTTGTACCTCAATTAAAAAAAAATGCATTTGCTGTACTCCATAAGTTTTGAAAAGTTGTGTTTCTATTTTATTTGTCTGAAGACATATATATATATTTTTTGTCCTCCTTGGTAGAGTGCCGTAGCGTCACAACTCACAGCAACCTCCAGCTCTTGAGCTTAGACAATTCTCTTGTCTCAGCCTCCCGAGTAGCTGGGACTACAGGCGCCCACCACATGCCTGGCTATTTTTTTTGTTTTGTTGCAGTTTGACTGGGGCCGGGTTTGAACTTGCCACCATCAGTATATGGGGCTGGTGCCCTACTCACTGAGCCACAGGCACCGCCTCTGTTTGTTTGAAGATATTTTTTATTTCTCTCTTAATTTATTCATTAACTCATTGATTGTTCAGGAGCATGTTGTTTAATTTCCATATATTTGTGAATTTTATTTTATTTTTATTTCTTTGTTGTTGTTGCAGTTTGGCTGGGGCTGGGTTCAAACCCACCACACTTGGTATATGTGGCTGGCACCCTACTCACTGAGCCACAGGCCCCACCCCCTATTTAATTTAATTTTTTAATTTTTTTTTTTGCAGTTTTTTTTTGGCCAGGTTGTGTTTGAACCCACCACCTCTGGTATATGGGGCCAGCACCCTATTCCTTTGAGCCACAGGTGCCACCCTATTTTATTTTATTTTATGACAGAGTCTGAAGCTGTCACCCTTGGTAGAGTGCCATGGCTTCACAGCTCACAGCAACCTCCAACTCTTGGGCTTAAGTCATTCTCTTGCCTCGGCCTCCCAAGTAGCTGGGACTACTGGCACCCACCACAACGCCCGGCTATTTTTTGGTTGTTGTCATTGTCATTCAGCAGGCCCCAGGTTGGATTTGAACCAACTTGAGCCACTTGAGCTATAGCTGCCGAGACTATTTGTGAATTTTAAAAAGTTGTTTCTGTGCTTGCTTCAGCAGCACATATACTAAAATCGAAACAATACAGAAAAGATTAGCATGGCCCCTGTGCAAGGATGGCATGCGAATTCGTGAAGTGCTCCACGTTTTTTTTACCTCTTAGCCTTTCCTCAGTTTTCCCTTCCTTCAGTTTAGGAGTTGAGAGACAGCCTGAGCAAGATCGAGACCCTCATCTCTACTAGAAACAGAAAAACTAGCTTGGGCATTGTGGCAGGTGCTTGTAGTCCCAGCTACTAGGGAGGCTGAGGCCAGGGGATTGTTTAAACCCAGGAGTTTGAGGTTGCTGTTAGCTAGGTTTATACCACAGCACTCTGTCCAGGGCAACACAGTGAGATTTAAAAAACAGAAAAAAATCCTAATCCTGAAGTAAAGCTTGTGTAGGTGAGGAAAGAGATCCTTTTTTGTCACAGATATGATTATCAATAGCACAATTGATACCTGTCTCTCTATGGCTTTAGCAAATGTCTGTAAAAACTAATTCTGATGCTTGTCTGCATATGGACAGCAATATCAATTACTTTTAAGAAATAAGAATAATGGGCTAGGCGATGCCTGCAGCTCAGTGGGTAGTGCCCTGGCCATATACACCAAAGCTGGCAGGGTCAAACCCGGCCTAGGCCAGCTAAAACAACAGTGACAACTGCAACAAAAAATAGTTGGGCATTGTGGCGGGTGCCTATAGTCTCAGCTACTCAGGAGGCTGAGGCAAGAGAATTGCTTAAGCCCAGGAGTTAGAGGTTGCTGCGAGCTGTGACATCACAGCACTCTACCTAGGGTGACAGCTTGAGACTCTTATCTCAAAAAAAAAAGAATGGGCTGGGTCGTGGCTCACACTTGTAATCTTAGCATTCTGAGAGGCCGAGGCAGGTGGATTGCTTGAGCTCAGGAGTTTGAGACCAGCCTGAGCAAGAGCAAGATTCCATCGCTACTAAAAATAGAAAAACTAACCGAGTACCATAGTGGGGGCCTATAGTCCCAGCTTCTTGGGAGGCTGATGCAAGAGGATCTCTTGAGCCCAAGAGAGTGAGGTTGCTATGAGCTGTGATGATGCCATAGTATTCTACTTAGAGTGACACAGAGAGAGAGACTCTGTCTCAAATAAATAAATGAAAAAAAGAAAGAAAGAATAATAATTGTGCTAATCACATACCATCCGAGATGTGGTGAGTGATTCAGTTAGGAAGAATTATTTGCTATCATTTACTATAAAACTTCAACACAAGGCAGGTTTGGACATTTCAAAGTAGACATTAGTTAAGTGTTGGAAAGAGGAATAGACTAGAAATCCAGGAGCTAGGGAGAGGGAGTGAATGGGGTTGTGGTCTTTAGAGATGCTTTAGAAAAGCCCGATGTATTCAACCTAATCCATTCAAAGAAAATGACAGGCCACCAAACTCATAATGATTGTGCTTTGTTAATCTAGTTAGTGAGCAGTTTTTAAAATCTATTAGCCATTGCAGAAGGCAACACATCTCGACGGCTCAGCTCCATTTTGTGCAGACAGCAAAAGGCCAATATTTACACAGACAAATGGTCTCTGTTTGTCTAAGCATAATTTGCTGTACAAAAAGTTGAGCTAGGTTTCTAAGTGATACACATTGACCAGCTTTAATTCACACCGATTTGTTTAGATAATGCTTTAGTAAAAATATTTTTAACATATTTATTCAAGGCTGAAATCAACTTCATTTGGGGTATCCTGAAAACTAGCAAATGAAAGAAAAAAATATAAAGTTTATCTTTGTAAGTACAGTGGTGTTCACCACAAATTGATCACAACCAGTTACAGATTCCTCTGTTCCTTCTCTACTCCCACGGCTTCACTTGATTAGCCTTAAAAAAAGAAAAAAAATGAGGCGTAGGCCCATGACATAGTCTCATTCACAACTACTAGTAACTTAACTTTGAGCTTATTTAAGTTACTAAAGACAAAACTCAGATTTTAACAAACCAGACTTCAACCTATTCAAGTGATAAACAAACTTACTGATTTCAGTTATCATTAATAATTACAGAGTGGCAGGGCGGTGCCTGTGGCTTAGTGAGTAGGGCACTAGCCTCATATGCCGAAGGCAGCAGGTTCAAACCCAGCCAAACTGCAACCAAAAAAATAGCCAGGCATTGTGGCAGGTGCCTATAGTCCCAGCTACTTGGGAGGCTGAGGCCAGAGAATCACCTAAGCCCAAGAGCTGGAGGTTGCTGTGAGCTGTGATGCCACAGCACTCTACTGAGGGTGACAAAGTGAGACTTTCTCTAAGTAAGAATAATAATAATTAGAGTGGAAAGATTAGCTGACCAGAGCTCAAACCTTGACTCCTTCACTTATCAGCTATATGTAATCAAACATCTGTGCCAGTTTCCTGCGGTAAGTAATAGCATGTACACCGCAGGTAGTTCTGAGAGCTAAGATAGTGTATGTGAATTATTGGGTGTAGCTCTATGCATGATGTTTATTAAATGTAGTTATTACATTATAAGGTTGTGACAAACACAGTGGTAGCATCAATTTTTATTACTAGCTCTATTTTGTTTTGTTTTGTTTTGTTTTAGACAGTCTCACTCTGTCACCCTGGCTAGAGTGCCGAGGCATCATCATAGCTCACAGCAACCTCAAACTCTTGGGCTGAAGCAGTCTTTTTGACTCAGCCTCCTGAGTAGCTAGTCTCAACACCTGGCTAGTTTTTCTATTGTTAGTAGAGACAAAGTTCTTCACCTTGCTTAGGCTGGTCTTTAAGTCATGAGCTTAAGAAATCCACCCACCTCAGTCTCCCGAGGTGCTAGGATTACAGGTGGGGGCCACCATGCCTGGCTGTTCCTGTTGTATGCTGAAGTTTTACAACATCATTGAACATTAATACTGTGCAGTGCAAGCACAGTGTTCCATGTCTGCTTCCCTTGAGCGGGTGGGCCAATAAAGTAACAAGAAATGTTCTAGCTAACATTCTAGCCACCACTGAATCCTGGAAGACTTTTTAGGCATGCTTAACTAGCGCAAAAGTTCATAAATCAATTGTCCAACTCTGTACTGAATCTTTTACCCTTACATAACATGAAAATTATAAAGCCAAACAGTGGATGGGCACAGTAGGTCACACCTATAATTCGGGCACAGTAGGTCACACCTATAATTCCAGCACTGAGAGACACCAAGGCAGGAGGATTGCTTGGAGGCGAGGAGTTTGAGACCAGCCTGAGTAACACAGCAAGACCCCATCTCTATAGAAAATAAGAAAAAAGTAGCCAGGCATGGCGGTGCATGCCTTTAATTCTAAGTACTCAGTAGGCTAACATGGGAGGATGGCTTGAGCTCTGGAGTTCAAGGTTACAGTGAACCATAATTGCACCACTGCACTCTAGCCTGGGCAACAGAGCAAGACCCTATCTCTAATAAATAAACAAATAAATAAATAAAAAGTAAAAGCAAATACTATGTATAATTTCTAAAGAATGATTCCTTAGCAGGAAGCGGAACTGTGAACAAACCCCTCAGGCGTGTGGGCTGTTCTGAACCAGCACCACATGCTGCATCGGCCACCTCACCCGACCCGTGCCGATGCCCAGGGCCGTAGACTTCCAAGAAAAGTCGTGGGACTGTGTCGAATATGGACATACAATAAATGGCTATCCTCTTTACTGAATAAGGAAAATGGATTGCTGATGTGGAAAATAATAGCATCAATTCAACTAGTAAATTGAGATTAATATGAGAGTACGAATGATGAGGGTACACAGTTTGTGTTTCTGAGGTATAGTGTAGGTTTTCGTTGATTGCTTCATCCAGAGGGAGTGATGTAAACCCTTACAGTGTGCCCTCGAGACAGCTGAAACCGTCCAACCTCCACTCAGAGCAAAGGATGTGAAGCATCTGGACAGAGAGGACCATGAAACACTGAGACAAGAAATAACAAGGCTGGCTCGGCGCCTATAGCTCAACCGGCTAAGGCGCCAGCCACGTACACCTAAGCTGTCGGGTTCGAATCCCCAGCCCGGACCCGCCAAACAACGATGACGGCTGCAACCAAAAAATAGCCGGGCGTTGTGGCGGGCGCCTGTGGTCCCAGCTACTTGGGAGGCGGAGGCAGGAGACTCGCTTGAGCCCAGGAGTTGGAGGTTGCTGTGAGCTGTAATGCCATGGCACTCTGCCCAGGGGGACAGCTTGAGGCTCTGTCTCAAAAAAAAAAAAAAAGAAATAACAAGGCTATTCCCAGATGAAAGAGCATACCATGCTCATGGCTTGGAAGATTAACATTGTTAAAATGTCTACACCACCCAAAGCTGTCTACAGATTTAATGCAATTCCCATTAAAATTCAATGTCATACTTTGAAAATCTTGAAAAAATAGTTTTACATTTCATATGTAAGCAGAAAAAAAAAAAAAACCCAAATAGCCAGCACAATTCTACAAAATAAAAACAAATCTGGAGGCATCATTTACCAGACTTGAGATTATACTATGAGTCTATAGTGATCAAAACCTCATGGTATTGGCATAAAAATAGAGACAGATCTACGGAACAGAACATAGAATGTAGAGGTGGGACAAACCTCATCTTGCCATCTGATCTTTGCCAAAGCAAACAAATCCACTGTGGAAAAGAACCCCTATTCAATAAAGGGTGCTTGAAGAACTGGTTAGCCACAGGTACAAAACTGAAACTATACCTACACCTCTCACCACTTACAAAAATTAACTCATGATGGATAAAAGATTTGAATCTAAGACATAAGATGATAAAAACCCTAGAAGAAAGGGTGAGAAAAACCCTTAAGCTGGCTGGGTGCAGTGGCTTACGCCTGTAATCCTAGCACTCTGGGAGGCTGAGGCAGGTGGATTGCCTGAGTTCACGGGTTTGAGACCAGCCTGAGCAAAAGTGACCCCCTCTCTACTAAAAATAGGAAAAAAACAGAAGCAAGAGGATCGCTTAAGCCCAAGTTGGAGGTTGCTGTTAGTTATGATGCCACGGCACTCTACCCACCGTGACAGCTTGAGACTCTGTCTCAAAAAAAAAAAGCCAAAAAACTTGATCTTGTCAACCTACAGAAAGAATATATGAAGAAGACCCACTAGCAATCACTGCACCAACAAAAAG